GGGGGGGGGGGGGGTGGTGTGCTCTTAGTTTCATCTACTTATGTAGTTTTGATCAACGTTACTTTTTCAAGAGAAGTTTCCCTTGTTCACTTGCAAAATATCACTAATCGATCAAATGAAACATACAAACACAATCAAGAAAACTTGATTTTTAGTACCCTTTTAACAACAATTGTCCTCTCATTACAAAGCTATGAACTACATACATCACTTTTGCCTTTGTTTCTGCCAAATTCTTACAAAGCTGGTACATTCTACACTGTACACAACAACAGACACTCCAACAGTGCAGTGCACAAGCATCCAACAGAATCATACTCGCCTATATAAACCTTCACCTGAACCATCAGTAGGAGGCAACCCAACCGCAGGTGTGTAATAAGGAGTCGAATACATCTCTCTACTACGCAGAACTGAATCAGGATACAAGCTTCGACTAGGTGACATGGGAGTATATGTACTTACTTGTCTATCTAACTTGAAGCTAGTTGAGGCTAGTTGGTTCCCTTCAAAACCAGATGTTCTGACACTTCCTGAAACCATTTGTGTGCCTTTATAAACTCTGGAATCTTGAGTATCCACAACCGGTTCACCATCTGCCTTGAAGCCTGTCCATAGTTTTGGTCCACAAATGTATGGAGTGGTCAAAGGTCGCTCTGTGTCTAGTAATTGACTTTGGAAGCCAGAATCTAGGAGGTTCTTTGTGGATGTTAATGCTTTGGTGACTCCAGGTAGCAAAGGAATGTCTCTCTCAGGTTGTATATGGTTAACAAGAGCTTTCTGAGAACCCGAGGCTTGAAAGCTGTTCCTCGTTGATGCATCAGGTGAAAAATCAGTGGGTACTCGGAAAAGTCCGACGTTGGAAGCAGGGAGAGATGGTTTGGTATCAAATGCTGGCTCTATAGGTAGTGCGTATGTGTTCATATATGAACCTGGCGTTGAAGGATAAGAGCTCTCAGAAAGATACTCATGTTTTCTGATATGTAAGCTATTGACCTTCTCTTGCAGAGACAGCTTAGCTTGCTTTAGCGCATTGAGCACAGTATCATAGCCATCAGACTTTTCCTTTGTCACTGGAACTAAGTGGTAATCTACTTTCTGGATGTTAGTGGCATTACTGCAAAAGGAACCACCTCTAGAGTTTGGTCTTGGTACATGAGGTGCTCGAGTAGTTGATGAAGCGTGCTCAGAGATACCTTTGAAGTTCTGTGCATGGGAAGACTCACTTTTAGGACTCTCAGATATTTGTTTCCCGTTGTCTCCAGAAGGAGAAGCTTCTTCTTCCACAGATTTGGAACCACAACTTTTGCAGAACTTATCAGGTGATGTTACTGAATTATCAGGGGAACCATGTGACGAAGTTTCAAACGGTTCCCTAAGGTGAACTTCATTGGCTATAGACCTTGTATCACCGTGCGAGGGTACTAGTGTTGAACCTTGAGCTTTTTCTCCATTACTTTCATCCGTCACATCTGAATGGTTTCCTACGTCACATAAATCCTGCAACATTGGAGAAAACATATAAGCATATGCAAACATACCATAATCACAACTAATGAAAGATAAGATCCTTAAAATCTTGCAGAGGTCAAAGTCTGAGACATAAGGGCATACCAGGGCAGATGATTTATTCTCAGTGAACTTCTTCTCCCATTGTTTCTGAGTCTCTTCCATATCTCCATAAGATCCAACAACTTGTGCACGTTTTCTTAACGCTTTCTCCAACTTGATGTCCATACTGTTTTCCTTCTCCAAAACATATGAACATGACAACTTCTGCAAGCTTTCGTCTCCCTTCACAACAGTAACATCAGCCTCTTCACTCGTTATAGGAAGCACTTGAGTGCTACCTCCTTTTTCTTGAAGATCAACAACTGTATCTCCATCTCTCTTATGATCTTCAGATACAGTTCTGTAAATTTCAGAAATGTTAGTTGTTTTAGTACACAAACAATAGCCAATTCATATATAACAAACGGACCTTGACTCGCTGCGTTTTATTTGTCGACAAGATCTTCCTTGGCGGTGTCTTGGCGAGGAGAAATAAGCAGACACGAACCCTCTCTGTCTCCTATTACGAGACTCCTTAGTTTTTTGAGAAGAATCAGCTTCTCTCCAGCGACCTTTCCATGATAAACTCTTGGCAGACACTATAAAAAAAGGAAATAAATCTTTCAACAACAAAATATCAGAAACTTATCTCAGCTAAGAGATGATAGGAAACTGCTTACTTGACTTGGTCGTAGTCTGAGAGTAGCTTTCTTGATCAGAGCTTGAATCATCATCATGAAACCCATATTCTTCAAGGATAGCAAGGACATCAGCAGTTGCTTGTTCCGCCTTCTTTCTCTGTAAAGACACAATCTTTAGCTGTTCCTCCAGCTCTGCTACCTAACATAACCACATAAAAGGTATTAACAACAGTTTGCAAACAAGTTAACAACAGATTCAAACATAAAAGATAACGAACTTTATCAGAAAGGCCATCAAGTTTAGCTCTTGCGCTCTTGGAAACAGCTCTTTCAGCGAGTAAACGCGCACGGAGAAACTCAATGGTCATTGAAGTATGATCTTGTGCCTCTGAATCATTACTACACCTAATCAAATTCAATAAGAAGATGTGATTTGATTGCAAACGGCCTAGTCAACATGGTTATTGATAAACTATTGAACGGTAAGTAAAGAGCTAAGGGAGAGGATTGATTTGGAAAGAAAGAGAGAGAAACATACCGAGGAACCAAGTTGTCCTGATGAGCCATCACCAAGAAGATCTGCTGCTACTTAGTTTCGAAGATTTGTCTGAAGATTATTTTTTATGCTGCGTAGAGCTTCCGGGGAGAAGCCGTCTGGTTTTAATAAATCAACTTGACAAGTCAATATATGAGAGCTTTTATTATTAAAAGTGTTTATTCTCTGTTCTCATTGGTTCAAATAGAGATATTCATTGTAATTTATTAGCACTAACTTCGATTTAATACTTTGCTAATGTGTAGACAGAATTACCTTTTTATTAATCCCTCTGTTTTTAAATAAATGTCATTTTAGCTTCTTTTTTGGGAAATTGTGACTAATACCACTTTCCTCATACCACATTTCATATATACTTTAACCAACTTTACCACTTAGATTTTAATAGGTAAAGTACCATTGTATCCCTAATTAATTAAACGGTGAAATTCAATTCGACGATTCTGATCTCTCGATAAGAAAGCCACCACCATCATCTCCATCTCCTCCTCCCTCTGTTTCCCCTCCTTCAGCGAGGAAATCAACCCCTGAGTTTCCCTTTTACCAGCAGAACTGGTTCATCGCTCTCCTCTTTGTGATGGCTGTCGGGTTCTTCTCTCTCGTTCTCTTCGTCTTCCTCAGCGTCGATTCGGATTCCGGCTACACGTCTGCTTCCGCCGCCGAAGGCGTTAAGGTGTGTGACAAGATTGTTTTGAATAAACCTTCCATGTGTTGATGTGTTTGCAGATGGATGCTCTTATTTCACACAGTTCGAAGAGTTCATATGCTTGTGTTGGAGTGAGCACACGTCCTTACCAGAGCCCTTCAGCATCGATTTGGATTCGTCATAAGTGATTTATAAACATTTATAAATTATTTATAATCCTTATAGACTGGTTTTATACACTCATATAAATTGGAAAGGATTGGTGTTTAAGTGATGATTATTTTGATAACATGGTTAGTCTTTGTTCACTGTTCTCTCTCTGTGTTTGTTGTATCTTTTTGAGTCTTGTTGAGCATTTGGTGATATGTATACAGTTATGTTCTCTGAGTCATGGTGGATTGGGACTAAAGAGGAGAACCCTGACGAAGCCCATCTTGATTTCCCTAAAGAACTCTCTCAGGTTGTTGTTATGTTTTTACCTGATTTGTGTTTTCTCTGGTCTGGCTTGCTATAAGATAAGAGAACCTTTTGGTTTCAGGCAGAGAAAACTGAAGAGTTTGATTTCCGAGGCGGTGCAGGATCAGCAGCAGCAGCTTCAGTTAAGACGGCTGCGGCTCCTGAAACTGGGAGCCAACCAACGGAGACAGAGACAGACTCACCTGAAGTTGGAATGGAGGAGTTTTTGTCTGATGATGAAGAGTTTATGGACGATAAGGTTCAGGTGACACCAGTTCAAGTAACTCTAGTTCGTCAGTCTCAGAGAAATTCTGGCAAGAAGTTCAAGTAATCATCCTTACTATTTAAACACACACTCTTTATAGCTTTGTGACTTTGACATAGAAGAAGTATGTGCAGTGGACTTGATGAGTTATTAGGTTTCTTTTGGGGAATCACTTGATGTTCATTTGATGTGTAACCATCTCTATGATGCTTGTCTAGTTTTCTTTGTCTTTCTATCATTTGTTGTTTATACATTTGCCTCTCTGTGACTTCTGTGTTTTTTGGTTTTCCTTTGTTAGATCTTTAGTTTTCTCTGTTGAGCGATCTAAGTAGTATCAGGTTTAACCGCCTATATATGAACTATTTCCACAGCTTTGCAGAAACCTCTCCAGAAAACTCCTCAGGTGAAAGTGAAGGCAATACATCTGAGGAAGGGGATGAGAAACCTGTGTTGGAATCTGATTCTTCAACAAGAGTTCGTGAGGAACCTCAAGCTGATATTAATACTGCATCAGCAGGCAAGTTGCTCACCAAACTTCCGGCTAAAAAGGAAAAATCAAACAGAAAAGACGGTAAGCTCGTTCAAGCTACAGTAGCCAAACTATTCAAGAAAGCAGAGCAGAAAACAGCTGGTCCTTCAAAGAATAAATCATCATCAAAGACCTAGGTTTTGTATATTCTACAAGACCAAGAGGTCTGCTGTTTCTTTTGCTGTGATAATGAACAGTTTCTAGCTCTTTTAGTTATGTTGTGTAAGAAATATTGCTACAAGACTGATGATTATGTTGCAGAAATAACAGGAATGTGATTTCATCAAGCTTATTAATAGTATGTGTTCGCCAAGTTATGTATACAGCATGTTTGTTCAATTTGATACAACAGTTTCTCATCTATCTATACGAATGACCAAAGGCATTATACCTTTCATCATTGTTTTTCATCTCAACAGATTCATCTCACTGAACTTTAGAAAAAAAGGACTAAGAGGATCCTTTTATAGAGAAGCTTTCTATGGGGTTTGGGATCTTTTTTGGATCAAATCATTCCTTGGACTTCCTTGTCTAGCTTAATCACTAGAGCTTGATATTAATAGGATCATATGTGGTAATAGCATGGTTGTCATGGAATTTTGACGAAACTGAAACTTTTTAGATGGTTATAGTAGTATATATGTAGTGGAACGAGACAGAATACTGATCCAAGGCAGAAGAATACTGAACCTGTTCATAAGCGTTCTGTAAGTTACTTACATCTTCCTGTGTATTTCATTATTTATCACTGTTTAGTGCAGTGCTATATGCTATGTTACCATCATCTGAACATTTGATTTTCTCTTCGTATGCAGTATTGGACAGAGAGCTATGTGCAGTGGTCTCCTCTTGGTACGTACCTTGTGACACTTCACAAGCAGGGTGCAGCTGTTTGGGGTGGTGCTGATACCTTCTTGGTGATCTACCAAACAAATGTATTTACATTTTCTTGGTGATAAGTTTTTGTCTTTTTCTTTTTTATTGTTTTTGAAATTTGTATACGCTATATAACAAGTGAATTGTCTCGGATTTGATGATCTAAAAGTAGAAGAGCGTCTAAACTATTTATAAATTTTTTATAAATTCTTTATAATTTCTTATAAACCTTTAATATAAACTCTTCATACCCCCCATTATAAACATTTTATAAAGCCTTATAAATCTTATATAAACTTTTTATAAACATATAGACCCTTATAAACCTATATAAAACCTTATAATTAATTTATAAAACCTTATAGATTCTATATAAAATCTTTATAAACACATATAAATGGTTTGTAAACCCTTTGTAAATTCTTATAAACCCTTATAAACATTTTTAAAACCCTTATAAAACTTTATAAATGGTTTATAAAATCTTTAGGTTCTTATTAACCTTATATTATGATTTATGAAGTCTTGTAAATGATTTGTAAATGTTTCCATTAACTTGGGTGTCATTTTGTTGCAAATTGTGGTGGTGATGGAGGAGAGACGCTCGTAACGACGGCGAGTAAGGTTCTTCTTCACGGTCCTATACACCATTGGTATTAAACCATCCATTGATGCTCTATTATTCTTTGCTTCTTTGTTATGTGGATATTATATGGTTTTCTATTTTATTTTAGGTATGGTGCTTAGTTGCCTTCCATTTTCTTGTTTTATATATTTATTATCTCTTTATACAAGAAATCTAAATTTTTTTTTACTTTTTAGTATTGTTTCTACCATTTGATATCTAATTGTTGAACTATGATTATAAATGACTTATACAATGACTTATAAACTAATTTAGAAAAGCTTATAAACTTATTTATAAAAAAAATATAATTAATTATAAATGGCTTATAAATAATATTATAACAGGTTGTTAGCAGACGGTTGAATTCAAGAAGTGTTAGTGGGAGTAGTGTTAAGAAGACTACCTTATAAATCAGTTCATACATTCTTGTAAATCAAAATAAAAAATCGTATAAATCAGTTTATAAGATTTCATAAATCAGTTTCTGAACCCTTATAAACCTTTATAAATAATATAAGCTTTTATATATAATATATTAACTCTTATAATATTAGATACTTTATAAATGTTTTATAAACCCTTATAATTTATTTATAAACACTTATAAATGACTTTTTAAACCTTATGAACAATTTATAAATCCTTATAAAATGACTTTATATATTCTCTTATAAGAGTTTTTATATCTATTTCATAAAACTTGTCAACATTATATAAGATTTTATTAATTTTATGATATTCTAAGAAGAGCATGCTTTTTTATATTAACGTGTGTGAATAGGATGCGTTGGGACCGTTTACGAGTCGAAGAACATTAGAAGTGCATTGAGTAAATCTATTTATAAATGATTTATAAACTCTTCTAAATGAAAACTCTTATAAATTGTTTTATGAAGATTATTAAACTCTTTTAATATTTTGTAGAAATCCTTATAAATAGATTTATAAATCTTGTAAATAGATTTATAAACTTTTATAAATGAGTGATAAGTTCTTGTAAATGGTTTTATAAACTCTTATAAATAGTTTTATAAACCTTTATAAATATTTATAAGTCTTTTATCAACTTCTTAAACGGTTCATAGAAGGTTTTATAAACTCTTATAAACACATATAAATATTTTTATTAATCATTATAGATGTTTCGTTTTTGCAAATACAAATAATCCATCAAAGAATATGGCTTTTTAAGAGGTTATAAAGCTCTCTTAATCTCTTGTAAAGCTCTCTTATTTCTTTTTATGTTTCTGTCGTCTTTTGCAGGTTTACATGATCAATCTAACCAACATGTGCTTCACTGTAAAACTCATCCTGATACGTCTCTCAATAGCTCTAATCAAAACCACGTTCTAGACTTTAATTAAGTAAACTTATGTAGCTGATGTTACCTTATCAACTATAGTAAGAAAAACATAAATCTTACACAATAAATAAAAGTATACCGATCAATTTTCTTCTGGGTAAAAGTAAAGAGTGGTCATATTTTAATTCATACTTTAAAATGAACAACTTGACAGTGACAAGGGTTCCAAATGACCGACTTGCAAGAAGCAAAAGATGAAGCAACAACATAAGACAAAGACAAAACAGAGTTCACATGGACATGAAGTCCCTCATAGCTTACTAGATCTATTGTTTGATCAGGTTCTTGATAACGTATTGCAATATACCTCCGTGATTGAAGTAAGCCAACTCCACCTGCCATTCCAAGTTCACCTTACTTAACATTGGTCTCTTTCAAAGCTAGAAGAATCAAGATGAATTTTTTTTTTTCTTACCTCTGTGTCGAATCGGAGTGTACATGTGAAAGATTTGCCATTGTTTGTGACGATCGTTACATCCTGTCCTGGTTTGATCTCACTGACATTGTTTGGGAGCTCAATGGTGTAAAGCTCCTCGCCTGTTAAGCCTAGAATCTCGGCATCTTCTCCTGTCTTGAAGCACAATGGTATGATTCCCATTCCCACCAGATTGCTTCGGTGAATTCTCTCAAAGCTCTTTGAGATCACAGCTTTCACTCCCTGTTGTTGTAATACATTTTAAAACCATGTAAAATATTAAGTTTGTTAAAGACGAAAAAAGTATATAAGCCAGAAATGTACCAGAAGCATTGGACCTTAGCAGCCCAATCACGAGAACTTCCACTTCCATATTCAGCACCAGCCAAAATGATTGTGTCACGTCCCTCGTTCTTGTATTTCTGGTACAACAAACAAAGAAAATACAACCTGATGAGAACAAAGCTATTCTGTTTTCAAAGCTTTTCATGATTAAAGAGCTAGAAGTTGATGTTATACCAAGGTAGCATCGAAGACAGAAAGTTTCTCTCCACTGGGAATGTGAACTGTTTTTGGGACCAACATCTCCTTTCAAATGTTTGTTAACTATAGGGATATTGGCGAAAGTGCCTCTCGCCATGATCTCATCATTACCACGGCAACTCCCGTATGAGTTTATAAGCCTTTATAAATTAGTTTATAAACTCTTATATATAGATTAACTTATAAACCTTTATAAATCATTTTATAACTTGTTTTCCCTGCATCTGGAGTGATGTAAGCTTTGAACATTCCCTATTAACACACAAACACAAGATCAAACATATTAAGACTAAGGACAAAAACAAGCAATGAGTAGATATTTGAAAGTATTCAAATTATAATATTATTTATAAGAATATATAACCATTTATAAGCAGTCAGCAGATATGACACTGAAGAGGTTGTGAAAGAAAGAATTTGTATATCATTCTCTCTGTTTCTATCTTATAAGTCATTTATTGAGTCTATAACCATTTCGAAAGGCTTATAAAATAATTTATAATGGTTCGTAAAATAGTTTGTAAGGGTTTATAAGGGTATGTAAATCTATATATATAAACTAAAGTTTCCCTCTTTTTCCTGTTGCCACGTCAGAAAAAGGATCTCTCTGAACGTGCCACGTGGCAAGGAAACACAATCCGCACCGTTTCATTTAACTTTGTGTTACGTGGGCTTCGTTTTGATATAGGCCTTAGACTGTTGAGTAGAGTCACTAGCCCAACCAATAGACCCTCTAAGTGGAAACGCGGCTTCAATCATCGTTTCCGTATTAGGGTTTTCATTTTGCTTTTGTCTCCTCCATTGATATCGATCAGAGAGCTGTTTCAGCTTCTTCATTCTCTACAGTCTATTCGGATTCTAGGTTTCGCCACACTTTTTCACTCCGATGTACGAGAGATTGAGTAGCCGCAGCCGACGTGATAAACCTGTTCGTAGAGATTTCTCTCACGTAATCTTCTTCCTCATCAACCGAAACGCTCCCGGTATTAGATACATAGCTTCTCTTATGTAAGGCGGTGTACCTGCGTTTATAAAAAGGTTAGACATCCTCCTCCCAAAATTATCTTCTCAATCTGATTAACTTGCGAAGATTTTATCTTACCTTATTCGTCTCAGTGACCTCGACTCCTCGCCATGGCATCCCGCGACTTCTCCCTGTCTAAGCTTCCTCTGCAGCATGAGTGGTGTTCATCGTTTCACGCAGCGACCTTCTAAGCGCACGACTAACAGCCATCTCAGCTCCCAAAGTCGTCGATCTTAGCTCCAATTGCAGAGTATCTAAAGCCGTGATTTATCCTTCATCAGGCGACTAGCCTAGGGAGAAAGATTAGTAGACGGGTTTAAGATTATTAGACCGGATTCTTATCAATGTTATGATCTGTTTTTTTTAATAAAGATTTTTCTTGGATGATGATGTTATGACTCTGGTAATCGAGCTCTTTTTATGCAATCTTCTTTTATTGATGTGTAACTTTTTGTATAAAAAGGTGGTGGCAGGTATCTGATACCGGGAGCTGGTAAAATCTGCAATAATCTGCGACCATTACCTTCACAACAAGACTGCTCTCTTGGATACATGCGAATAATTGTCAGATCCTTTGCAGCTCTATCTAGCAAGCTACCGTGTGGCACAACCTGCAATAATCAAATCAGATTTTACCAGTAAGAAGAGGAAACTCACTCAAAGTTGTGATCAAGTCTTAAGTAACATTCTTTTTCTCGTTGTACCTTTCTGTGTATGTAATCTTGGGTATTTATTTTCCAGGATATTGCAGCTGGGACAAGAGCAAAAGAGTTTCCCTTGGGTTCTGAAATGAGAAGAAATCATTCGCTAGACTTTGCAAAGAGTCATTGGACCCAATAGCTAGGAGTTCCATATAGATAAGAGGAATTGAAACCTACTGCTTCTGGTTTCCACCTGAAACCAATTCAAGAATTTTGAGATTGTTGTTGCGTTAGCTTCCTGAATAATTATAACAACAGAATAAGAATTACGGTCTATCATTTGTGTTTACAAAGAAGGGTCGCCTTTTCCGCAACGTCGCTGCAACAAAGGAAGCATGAAAGATGTTTTGCTAATTTTGTGATTTAAGTTGTGGTCAAAATGCTCGGGTAGACAAAAAAAAAGTTGGAGAGACATGTCATTTTCAAGACCAATGAGAAATGCAGCTTCTGCAAGAGCAGCGAGAAGGCTTCCTGTGCCAGCAGCATCTTCTCCAGACACATCATATTCACTGACAAAAGCCTGTAAACAAAGTTATACGAGTGAGAAAAAAAATGAAAACGCAGAAAAGCTTCTCGGATTTTGTTTTGTATAATCTATGTCATAATCAAGTGCTTTAATCTACATTCCTTCTCTTTTATTTTTACGCGATCTGATAAACAACTTAGGTGTAAACCTATTTGCTGTTTGGTTCTTTCTCATTTGTTTTTTTTTTTGGAATTCAGTTTCACCTAATCAAATGAACACTCCACCCGTGTGTTAAACACATATGAACTCAAAACATCTAAATGATCACAAAAGAACTAAAAAAATACTAAAATAATTAAATATCACATATATGTTGCAATTCTTTTATATGTTAGTAAAAGTACTATAAAATGTTATTTTCATCCCTGAATATATAGNTTTTTTTTTTGGAATTCAGTTTCACCTAATCAAATGAACACTCCACCCGTGTGTTAAACACATATGAACTCAAAACATCTAAATGATCACAAAAGAACTAAAAAAATACTAAAATAATTAAATATCACATATATGTTGCAATTCTTTTATATGTTAGTAAAAGTACTATAAAATGTTATTTTCATCCCTGAATATATAGATAAAAAGTAAATTTCCATAAAAATCTGGGAACTTCACTGTAGAAACATACATTGGAACATACATGTATAATATAATTTCTTTATTTTAAGAAGAAAATATAACGAGATATATTAATTCGTTAAAAAAAATGCATATCTGAAATACTCTAAAGCTTCCAACTAAAAATTTACTCTAACAATACTCTTAGAGCATTTCCAACCCAAAACCTTATTTTAAAGGGAGCAAAATTTCAAAATAAGGATTTCAAGTTAGATTATTCCAACCATGAATTCTCAAAAAAATCCTTAAAAAAATATTTGTTTGCTTTATAGTCTTTGACATTAACAAAAATTATTAATAATGATAAAACTTCACAAATACATATAAAACATATTTTAACATATTATATATCACATGATATTATACTATTATATAATACAAATAATATTAATTACATATATAACAAAACAATACACATACACACAAATTTTAGGAAATTACATATAAAATACCAACATTTCTATTAAAATACCAAATTACATAGAAAACTAAATATAAAATACCAAGTTTTAGAAAACAACAACATACACACAAATGTGAACTTTATTTAATGTATTTACCTATTTTTGTGAGTTTTATTTTAATGTTGCATAATATTTATTATATTTTATTTTAATGTACTTAAATTATTTTAAATAAAGTTAGTCGATGTATTTATGAAAAAGATAATTGTAAAGACTAAAAGGAAAATAAATAATAGCTTTGAGGTTTTGAATAGTGATATCTTAAATTTGAGGTGTCACTATTCAAAACCTAAAAATTTGAGACTGGCTTGAAATGTAAAAAAACTTAAAATTTGAAGATAACACTAATCGCAAAAGAATCGTATGAAAAATTGTTCCAAACTAAAAATGAACACAATCTTATAAATTTAGAACCAATCTTAAAATTATATATTGACAAAAATATTAAGTTCCGCATGAAGCGTAAGCTTCCCTTAGTAGTAATATAAACTTTAGATTCTATTTTATTATGTCAAAGTGAAATAAAATATAAAAGGTTATATATATATATATATATGTATATATTATTACATTTTTAATTTATTTTTGCTAATTTTGTATTTTCTGAAAAATAGAGAATAATAAAGATTATGTCACTTTAATTCAAACCAATTATGATTATTTAAAATATCAAATTATAATTCTATTCATTATTTTTTTTTGTTTATAATAGTTTTCAATCTACTATTTCTTAAAAAAAATATTTCATAAATTAATATATAAAATCATTTTTATATTAACATCCCGCCCGTAGGGCGGGCCAACCCTAGTAATTTATAAGAGTTTATAAAAACAATTTATAAAGTTTATACACATTATAAAGGATTATAAAACAATTTATAAGGGTATGTAAAATTATTTGTAGGAGTCTATAAACCATTTATAAAGGCTTATAAAACAAGTTATAAAATCTACATGCTCTAGCTTATTTCTTTCTACGTATTTTTTAGCAATTTAGATGCAACATCAGATTTCTCTAGATAAACAGTGGGTAGCTGTAGAGTTTCTGTTTCCAATTAGCCCCTGGTGATAGCCAGAGGTATCAACAGGTGTGCTGTTGACAACAATTCTTGAAGGAAGAAAATTAATTGTCTCTGGACTAAAGCCACTTATATCTGCAAGATAAGAGTCAATGTGGTTAATGAATGTAGACAACAACATTTGAATCTCGAGAGAGTTTGCATACCTCCAGGGACTGGGGAATGAACCTGTGAGATGGCTGACCAGGGAATGGACCTGAGCTAAAATGCTGACATTGTGGTGTGCAGGATGAGAATCAATGCCTGAGGTTCTTGGCAAATTATTTCTATCTACGCTGGTCTCTAAATCAGGTGTATGACGAGACCGGACATTCCTTGAAGAACTCTCTCCCCTCATAGAGAGATTATTACTTCTGTAAGATGGGTCCATGAGCCACGGCATGTAATGAGGATCCTGACCATGAGTGCATCTCCGAGGGGAAAGGCATGTCTGAGCTACCCATTTCATAGTTGGAAGAATCATATGGGGCTTTCCGCTTCAGTGATCCTCTCATATTTTCCATAGGTGGATCAACATAGCTATCATTTGACCATGTATGGCTGATGCAGTTCGAAGAAGATGCAGATGTCACATAGTGTTCATGTGGTGAGCAGAGAAAGTTGCAACTGTTGAGCTCATGAAAGGAACATGGGATGGGCCTGAAGCCTGGATTGTAGTGTGGCCTCTCCACACCATGACCTGGAGCAGTATATGCATTTGGTCTTGTAGAAGAGTTCCAGTGGGAAGAAACTGGCATTCCTTCACTCACCATGTTTTCTGCTGGATAAACATGAGATCTGTTGTTCTCATTGGTCCCTGAGAAAAACGTGGGCAGATAATAATATTATATAAGAAAATTTATGCACAAGAAAAGGTAGAGGATATATGTGACAGTTATAGAATGTTGCCTCCTAATTTTCACTACCTAGTGAAACCCAATCTACCCATGACTGAGGGAGAACCACCTGGAACTTCTTAACCTAAATATTAGCATCATTAACTCAATATCTCTTCCAAAGGTTGAGTATCAAGCTCAATAAATGGAGAAGGTTAAAAGATGGATTTTCTATCAATCAGAAATAGAGTAAAGATCTATAAGAATGTACAAATAGTTACCTAGACTCGTATATGGATGTTCTGGGTGTACATGATTCCAGCCTTGATCATGTTCATCATAAAAAAATCGGGATGAACCAGGAAAATGTCTGTGCCCCATGATTACACAAAGCTTTAAAATTTGTCTACAAAAAAACATTTGCAAGCTCAGAAATTAGTTTTTTCTTTTAATTACCAAGCAAACTCAGTTTTCAATTCAAGAATGGTATCCTAGAGTGAAGCCAAGAAGTGGTAAATGGTTGTTTGAAAATGTGTCACTGTTTGGTTTCAGTCTTACAGTCACATTTCAAGATCAACAATCTAAATTTTGTATACTGAAGAACCTCACTAGCTAAAAAGCAAGTGTTTCTTCAGCCCCAGACATATGAAAGAGCATACTCAAGCTTAAGTAATGAGTTTAAATATGCAGACAGAAGACTACACAGTTTTAGGAAGGACCTTTGAAGACTATATTGAATGATTGATAGAAGATATAAACCAGGAAATTTGGAGAATACTAGAAGAATGAGAAGTCACATTTAAGAAAACAGTCTGTAGTTTCCAGATCAATTACCTTAGTTACCCGCACCTACCATACCATACCAGACCATACATCAGAGCTCGTGATATCATAAAAAGATAACAAGTTTTCAGGAGTTAGACTCTGTGAAAGTTCATGATGCCTTTAGATGAAAAAACCTTAACTAGTATATACATCTATCAGTTCATAAGTACATCTTATAGATAAGAAGTTTGTAAGTAAAACAGAAACCTATATTTTGTCCTTCTTTACCCAAAAGACAAGAAATTAAGACACCGAAAATAAGCAAGAGTGGGAAAATAAAAGCCACTGGCAATACTGCATTTAAAAGCATCATTACAGTCGTCAAATTAAGAGTATTCTCAAGTACACTATTTCATTTACATATAAGGTACACGTATTAAAGAGCATCAAAAGAACAATACATAACATTTGATGTCATCATTTAATCTTCTATCAACACATACACACTAGGTCTTCGTTTATATCCACCAACCACAACTTCTTCATTCAAACAAAGAGACTCAAGTAATGTTTTATGTCACTAAAGAAAGATATGACATTGTGGAGTATGATCACTGTTGGAATGACCAAGAATATTACATGGATGATTCAATAGCAGGACATGAGCTTAATTTTCGGAACCAAACCCCTCCAAAATGCTCCTGAAGGCAAATAATCCTAGAAATTGATCCAACTATAGATCAGCCGGAAGAAATTAGGCTCTTGAACTTACTAATGCAATAAGAACACCAAATGAAATTAGAGAATGCGCTTAAAGAGAGACTAAAACCTCAAATTTTTCTTTTTAAAAAACAGAGTAAAATAACCCAACACTTCCCCAATACTAAAGCTTGGATCTGCTGTTTGAACAGCTACTCTTAAAGAGTTCTGCTTTTTCCCAACGAGTTTTGATAGTATCTCAGTAGCTGATCTCCTAATCTCTTCCTCTTGCAGATCTTTCCAGTTCAGCATCTCCACCAACCTAATAACAACAAAAAGTTAGTAGCCATGTTATCACTTCACTGTAAAGTTTGACATGTAAAGACCAAACCTTTCAACAACAGGAAAGTTAATTCCAATCTTCTCAAGCGTCTCCTCCGAGTACCGTTCACTAACAGAAAACTGTCTAAGAATCCTAACCCCCATCAGACGAATTCGATGCCAAAAGCTCCATACCAAAACTCACAATATCCATCTTCAACCCATCAAAGATACTCCCATTAACACACTTCAAGTACGAATCATAGAAAAACCTCTTAATCAAAACCAAACCAGTAACCCCAAACTCACATTCTCAAGCAAATTACAAACACTCACTCTCCACTCCCAATAAGCTTTCTCAGCAAGAAACAGCAGCGGCTCAGGAAGCTTTCCAAGTAAAGGTTTACAACACTTGCACATACCCTGAAAGCAAAGCACCTCTCCTCCTCGCACAGAAACAAGATCGCTCTCCCTGAGATTCGCAGCCAAAGAAGACTGCAATCTCAAAGCTACGACTGCAAAACTGAAACCCAAAAGCGATAAAGAAACATTACTTACACACTGTTGACAGTATCTCTTACCCTCTCCATCAAGCACAACGAAGCTAGCGTTAGCACACCTTAGACAAACCCTATGCCTCCTATGATACCCTTTGAGCTCACTTATATCAACTTCACAACCCAGAACCTGAATCCTCTTCTTCTTCGGAAACTCAGCCTCCTCCAAATCTAAAGAAAGAGAAAGAGAAAGTCTTAGTGAGAGAGAGAGAGAGAAAAGAGGGGCCCCCGTATGATTCGGATTCGCCGTGTGTTGCTCTTGTTTTATGTCACGCCATCGGTGAAGGAGGTAGTAGGTTACGAGAAAAAGAGGACGAAGAAGACGACGTCGGTGAGGTTGAGTGGCAAGAGGACATTTAGGTCATTTACCCACTAATGATCTAGGTATTTATGAAAATGTCCATTGAGTGGTGGTAAAATTGAATTGTGGTACAACAAAAATGGTATTTTTGCAATTGTCCCTTCTTTTTTTCTACATAAAAAGTGTCGATTTAGGATTCCAATACAATTTTAAGTTAAATATTAATTACAAATATATTGATTTTATAAGTAATTTTAGTTTTTAAGAATCTTATTGGTTGAATATGTGTAAATAATAAGAATATAAAGCATTCTAAAAAATTTCTTAATTTGTGTGAAAATATCAAAATGACACTCTTTATGAAACAGATGGAGTACATTTTTACTCAATTTCTTTTACTTTTACTTAAAAAAATATTTAAAAGGAGGAGTTAAATCAAATAAATAGCAGTCATTCATTTAGTCTCTCTGATACTGAGAGACTCGACAAGAATGTAGATGTGAGGCTGTTTGGCACAGTACCAAACACTGGCGAGAATGGAAGAGAGCAAAAACACAACACAAGAAGAAATATCAGGTCATCATCAACCTTGAGCAGGGACCATGATACATGACATCAGTACATTAATCAGCAACACCTTCAGGTGCCTGCAGAAAATTTTCATAGCTGAGAAGTATGTGTCTGAAGTGTTGCTGATAATAACAGAGGAGAACTCAGCTTAGCTCTCTGTATGTTTTCCAAGGAGGATAACACTTAGAGATTCATATCTAGTGTTTGTCTAATGAAAGACTAATTCAACTTAGCTTGCAGGAGGAAAAGAAAGACCTTTTGATTTAGCCTGGGAACATGTTTGGAGGACTGGTGGTACCAAGCTGCAGAACGGTTAATGACATGTATTTCAGCTGATTTTAGATTAAAGATATAAAAGGCTTCATACCTTATGGGTGTTCAATAGGTTTGGTAGCTCTACTTGATGTGCATGCAGGTGATATCCGCAGTCCCTAGGAACAGCTTGATTACGTCTTCGATAACCCCTGCATTTAAAAAAAAGCAACCACGTTGCTTCGATATAATCTAGCGAGTATGGCGTGTCAGGTTCCTTCCAGAGACGCCTATAGTAAACTAACTTTGAACCACTCCTGAGAAAATTTGAAAAATGACACACCTTCTACCAAAGCTCAAGACTTTACAAGTTAGGTTCCTCTCTGGATTGTTCATAAACAAAACAATGCTAAACCCTCCCTCACCAGCAACAATAATATGAGAATCTATCTTTAAACAAAGCCAATCTCTAAAACTAGTATCACTGCAAAAAAGATTCATCATGACATAAAGGAAACAACAGTTGTAGTTAAATTGGAGAACTTTTGCAATGACACAATTCCCTGTACAGAGAACTTTTGCAGAGTGACTGAAGAGTGCAACATTTTTATAAAGATTATATCTGGAGAAACTAGAATCTAAAGTTGGTCAAATGAAAGAAAAAAAAACAGTTATCAGGTAAAATAGTGGACTTTTGAATGTTGGCCAAAAATATTCTATGCAAGTAGCAATATATAACATTGTCCTCAACATAACATAATATTATGTAGCTGATCAATATTTTTTAATGAAATAGAAGCTAACCTAAAATAACAGAGATAAACATTTTAAAATGCTCTCAGACTTCATGCAATTAAAATAAAGTCATATCCAGCAATTTCATGTTGGGGTCATTAAATTTTAGAAGTTCATTACTCTCCCTATCTCAAAATGATCCATAATTTTTTGAATTATTTCAAAAAGATACCTTATTATATTTCAATACAATTTTTTTTGGTGTAATAATTGTAAATTATAAACTTTAAAGAAACTAATTGTGTTTATTGAATTGTGATTG